AAGAAGAAAAAAAAAGGCCAATCAGAACAACAAAAAGAAAAAAAATAATCCCCCCAAAATGAGGATAGTGCAAGCAGCCTCTGGGACAACTTCAGTTATTCCAACATTCTCATCATAGGGGTGCCAGGAGGAGAAGAGGAAAAGCAAGAAATTGGAAATCTATTTGAAAACATAATGAAAGAAAACTTCCCTAATTTGGTGAGCAAAATAGATATGAAAGTCCAGGAAGCACAGAGTCCCAAACAAAATGGATACAAAGAGGCCCATTCCAAGATACATCATAATTAAAATGCCAAAGATTAAAGATTAAAAGAAAAGAATTTGAAATGCAGCAAGAGAAAAGAAGTTAGTTGCTTACAGGGGAGTTCCCATAACACTGTCAGCTGATTTCTCAGAAGAAACTGCACGTTATAGAGGATTGGCAAGAAATATTCAGTCATGAAAACCTAGGACCTATAGCAATGATTGCTCTACCCAGCAAAACTATCATTCAGAATTGAAGGGCAGATAAAGGAGCTTCCCCCCCCCCCACATACACACACACAAACTAAACGACTCCATAATCACCAAAGCATTACTATATAATTTGTAAAAGGGACTTACTTAAGAAAAAGAAGATGGTCAAAACTATAAACAATAAAATGGCAATAAATACGTATCTATCAATAATTGAATTTAAAAAACAAAGTAAGCAAACAAGAAAAGAGACAGAATCATGGGTATGGAGATCTTTTTGATGGTTGCCAGATGGGAAGGGGAGAAGGGAGAATGGGTGAAGAGGTGAGGGGATTAGGAAGTACAAACAGGCAGTTACAGAATAGCCAGGGGGATGTAAAGTGCAGTAGAGGAAATGGAGAAGACAAAGAACTTATAGGCATCACCCAGGAACATGAATAATGGTGTGGGGACTGCCTGAGGAAGTGGGGGTGGCTGGGTGGAGGGGGCAACAGGGGGAAATCAGGACAGCTGTAATAGCATGAGCCATAAAATATCATTTTTAAAAAATCATATAGAAATTACGTCACAAATTTTATGATCTAACCTCACCTCTGAAGCCACCCTACTCTTCTTACCCTTTTGGTTTGCTTCAGATTTCTCCTATTTATCTTGGTGTACTAAATGCTTCCTTAGAAGCCACTTTAAGTCCCTTCCAATATAAAACAGATGGTTAATAATAAATGGTGGTTGAATGCATTGTCTTTTCACTTTATAAAGGCTTTCTCAAAACAATGAGTTAGCCAGAAGCAAGGATCTAACATCATCATAGTTTAGCATCTTTGGGAAGCAAACATTGGAATAAGATGAAGTTTACAGTGCAGGGTATTTATTAGGAAATATCTTTATGATAAATCCCTGGTGGAAGAAGAAAATAAGTTTGAATAAAGGAAGAAGATAAGCTAACAGCTTCAGCTATCTGGAGCCCATGGACCATCTGAATTACCTTTTTAGGCTGAAACAGAGGGGCCTTTTTACTCCCTGGCTCATCCAGTCACCGACTGTTGGTTGCCCTACTGTCTGCTGATGACACTTTGCAAGCCCATCTTTGGAAAAGGAAGCATAGCACCCCATCTACAACAAATATTTTAAAGTAACCCCATACCCTGATGTAATTAGCGATCCTGGGGAAGTTAAATACACTTGAGAAGTTATTTTGGACAGAGGGTTATACGCTAGTCAGATCTTTCACTCTGTCTAGAGAGAACTATAATGCATCTCCCTTAAAGGGTACAAGTGGAGTGATAAACAGTCAATATATTGTGTGTGGTGGGGTGGGTGTGTCTTAAGACAGCATATATTTATTATGTCGGTTTCTGTCCAGGCAGATCTTAGCTGAGTCCTTGTTCATAGTCTCACAGGGCTGTAACCAAGATGTTGTCTGGGGCTGTTGTGTACGTATTTAGCTGTGATACATGACCTGCCAGAGTCCACTATGTGTGGCAAACAAGCTAGACTTTCAACCTGGACTCAAAGTAAGAACCATCCTTTTTTGAGTGGGCAGTGTTCACATTTCATGCTTCTGACCATTACAGTATTGTTAAAGGAATCTCTGACTTTGGAACTAGTGTCACAGCCTCGCACATTTTCATACTCAAGGCCAAGAGAGATCGTTTTTGGTAAATTTTGCACAAAATGAGTTGAAACAGTGAACAATTAGGTAAATCAATGTAACAGCATTATAAATATTTTTTTCACTGTCTAATTTTTAGTAATTAAGCCAGTTTCCATTCTCTTCAGGCAAAACTCCAATTTACCATATTCTTCTAATTCCATGAGTAGATACATTGTTCCACTCAGTTGGTGAAAGAAAAGCATGGAGATAAACAAAGCAAATTTGCAGAGTACATGCTAGGTGCTACTGTGTAAAAATCAGTTTGCACAGTGCGTAATGCAAGTGTTATACAAGTGTTGTGGAATTTTTTTTTTTTTTTCATTTCAAATCAAAAGCAGAAAGTCAAAGTGGACTTTTTTTTGCCATTGGTCTTTTCGATTTTGACTGCTGTGGTCCTTAAAATTTACTGAGTTCTCATCTTTCAAATGAGAAAATTAGAGTTTAGAGAGACTGGATATTTACCCATTTCATGCGGAAAATTTCAGAATTGGAATACAGGCTCTCCAACTTGTATTCCCGTGTTTTTTCTTCCTTATTGCTTTGTTCATTGTTATTAATAGCTCTAGGAAACCAATAGCACCAACAAATTTCCCATTTACAATTTCTGCCTTGACAAGATATCCTTTTTATTATCCAATTTCTAAAGTGATTTTATTTTTAAGTAGCTCCCTTGAGTACATAGTTGCAACAATTAAAGATGAGCTTTATTTTTATCAGCCGATACTTGTTCAACATCCGTGATTCATGTTCTTCTTTTGCTTGCTAAGTTTATCTTGGTAAGTAAAGGCTTAACAAATTGTTAGGCCAAGAACACACACTTTGAAACCATCCAGATACATCTCTGTAGCAGACAACCAAACCGATTTAGAGACTGAAGAGGTGAACATATCAGTTTATTTTCATTCTTTGAGATGGAAATGCAGCTTAAGTAGGGGTGACTTTTGATGACATTTACTTAGTTCTTGAATTGACTGACAAGCCTATTAGTGTATGTATTCCCTGAACTTTATTAATGTAATTGGAAAACTGTTCACATGCCAATCAACTTCTAATACGTAATTATGTTCATGAATACTATAAAATTATTAGCTTTTAATTTGACCTAAGTACATACTTTCAAAACAGTAACAGAGATTTTCTTTTTCTAGAGGAACAAAGTACCATACCATGATAAAACATTCAATAAGTGCACTCCTAACATTTATTCTATGAAATAGTGCCCAAAATGTCACCATCATCAAATGGCCATCAAAAAAGAGTGACAGAGTAAGACATGTAACAGCTTTAAAAATGTATACTCTATTAGTCTGATTTAAAGACTGGGCCTGACATGGAACATGAAAGAATGGGAAAAAGAAAAGAGGACTTAATGTATCTAGAAACACATCATTTAAATCTATAGGAAGTAAAAAGTCTGTATCTCAAGTGACTCCAATGTATTACTGTCGAAGTTTACTTTTTCTTTTGTAATAAGACTCTTTTGTGGTCTCTGAGGGACAAACTCAAGTCAAAGGGACCTGAACTGAACATGAGGGTAGGGTTAGGCCTGGGTAACAGGAGACACATGTTTCTGACTTGTAATTTCATGTCAGTTTTTAAAACTAGACAAACTCCTGCCCTTGGGAATCCCTGGACAGTCTCTGAATAAAGATAGACTTTGGTGGAAATTATGATATTCTCCTATGCTATTAAGTGAGGGACATTTTACAGTCTGCAGTGATCTGCAATATGAAAAGCCGTTGAGGAAATTCACTAATGTAATTGTCAATTTATATTTACTTCCATAAAGTTAATTGTTTAATTAATAAGCTTAATTTTTATCACAAAGTTAAAATACTTACTAATAATTGAAGCTGTATTTCAATTTAGGTTTACATTTATGTGAGGAAATAAAGCTCAGTTAATAAAATTATAGATTAATAATATTTTCCAGATGTAAGCCATGCACATAAATTAACACTTAGTGTTAATTATTTAAAGGGTAAACTCAGGAGTAATGCAAATAACTTGCTTACTCAGCATTCCAGTTAGGAATAAAACATGCATTCACTTGTACCACATTATCATATAATTCATTATTAATTTTTCTTAGAAATGCTGCAATGTCATTTTGAGTTCCACAGCACAATACTTCTATGCAATGAATGCATGATTAATCTAAAATGCACGAGAAAATAATGTAAAGGGCTAAAAATATACATTTTCTATTCTATTAGCAATATAATTTCATTTTCTTGAAAAGTATTTGTGCTCAAGATAGATATGCTCTTCCATTTTAGTGTGCAAGAAAAATAATAAAATTTAATGATTCTGTTTGCATTTGGGGACTGCAAGTTAGCTGAAATGATCAATGAGCCACTGAACCTACGTCAAAGTATAAAGCATTGTGTACCATATTTTTTCAATTACTCTAAATTTAAATTAAGTATTTGTAGAAGGATGTTTCTTTTCATTGTGACTTTAACCAAAGTGTATGGAAATTGGATTGAGATGGAGTGTTAGAAATCTGGAGAATCAGTTCTAAGGAGTTACTATCCATATTTCAAAAAGTTCTAATGTTTTCATGTATCCATGATGGGTTATCAAATATTTATTTTAATGTATCAATCATGGGTTCTCAAGGATGTATTTGAAGAGTAACTCAAGGAAAGATACAATGTGAATCATACACAAAAAAATTGTAATGTGGTGTTCATGGACGAATTTTGATATTGGCAAGTGAGGAGTCACATGACTATGAGAGCCACTACACTTAAGGGAATCTAGGAACACACATCCCTGGAGACAGTGACAACATACATTTCAACACTGTCAGTTACATCTGAGTCATTTTGACAGGAAGATTTCTAACCGTAGTCCTTCACAATACAATGGTTATGGAAATGCATACCTTGCACAGTTAGATGCACCTGCATTGTTCTCGGCGTATGTTGAGTCTGAACAGAACACGTGTATGGGCCATCATCTGTCACATCTACGTTCTGTATCTGCAGACTGTAGTCCCTTTTATTCAGTGTTGAAATTGAAACTCGAGGATCCACTGACCACTTATCACCTCCAGCAAAAATAATACTTGACCGGTTCAGCCAGGCCCCCTTTGAACCTCCATCTTCCAAATAACACCTACAAATCATCAGAAACAGAACACTATTAATCAAAATGAAAATGAGAGACATTATCTTTGTTCTGACTGTATTTTCATATGCTGAATTGTAGCACTTCATCAAATGCAAATGTTAGATGTGAACACAGGAGACATGAATACACTGGTATGTCCCCCATCCCTAATACGAATATGAAACAATACCTGCATATGGTTTTGTTTTGTATGTCTGTGTGTTTTAATGCAAGTCTTGTCAAAATCAGTTTTTATTTTTTTGTGGATGACAAGTAAATTAAAATAAGGTTACATTAGTTTACACAAATGTTTTGACATCAGCACATGCTTTGTTCTTTGGAATTATAAGTAGTAGAAAAAGTCTATGAGTCAGCCTCATTCAATCTAGTTCAACCCTAAGTATAATGAACCAGATGCAGAAAGCACAGAATGGTATATACATGTTATTTTCAAAATCACCTGCATTAGCAGAGTGGTAAGTTTACATGCTAAAACTACACTGCATTTCACTGATAATATTGCTGTTGTGATTAAATATAGCGATTTCAATATAATAATTTTAGTAGCAAATTCTTGCTGTCTTCAGTAAACTGACCAACATTTTTTTTCCAGGTAGCATTCATTTATCCAATAAACATTTATGAAGCATTATGGGCTCAAAAAGGTATTGCCCTCACTCTTTTAGTCTAGTGAGAAAGACAACCAAGCAATGCATTTAATACTCCACACTAAGAAAAATAATTTTATTAAATAAAATGATCATGAGAGACAAAAGAAAGTTACTTGACTCAGAACAGGTGTTTGGGTGTAGAAAAAGGCTTTCTGGGATAGGACAGGAAATGCCTGAGATGAAGCGGGTGAGATGTGGAGGCCATGGCTTTCTAGACACAGGTGCTGTAAGTGGGCAACACCAGAGAAAGCTGAGAGAGAGAATCAGGCATTACAAGGAGGTACCAATAAGCCTGGGAAAAGGGGAGGGATGAGCGATGAAATTGGAAAGGTAAACTGGAAGCAAATGATGATGGTAAGCATGATGACATGTAGTAGGTTTTAAGGCCAAATTTAATGCCATTTATTCAAAGTTGCATTTTATGGCAAGGTTCAACAATATAGCTTTGTGTCTAATAGAAGTCAGGCAACGCGAGATTTAAAACAGAAGGCTGTGGTCACATGTCAGTGATTTCGCTGAGACTTGGAATTCTGTGTTTCATCTTGAAAATGTTCTGATACAAATTAAAGACTGATTCTCTTAAATGAGTACAAAGCACAGCTACCCAATGAAAATACACATACATCGAAATAGTTTGACAGCATTTCTACAGAACGCCTTCGGGGATTGAACACAGTGTTTGAGATTGCTACAAAATTGCAAGCTGAATGCAGCAGGGCAGGCTGCTGCAGATTGTATGAAACTAATCAGTGGATGAAAAAAATAAAGAACAGGGTACATTGCAGAATCTCATTTGTAGTCAGCTTCACCATCCACAGAATCCAAACTAGTAGAAGTCATAAAGGTCATTGTTAATTGGAAAGCTTTTTCTTATGTATTTAATGAAGAAAATAAAACCCACTTTAACGATATAATTAAACAATTATAGCACACCGCCATTCTTAATAATATGCAGAAAGAAGATAGAGGAGACATTGTTCCCATTTCACAAGATCACATTTGGGTAGAATACTCAGATACCACTACTAGGGCAGGGATAATTCCAATGTTTGTATTTACTGTCTGCATTCATGAATTGTTGTGTGACATTTGCATTCATGGCCTTCACATGTTCTTGTGCCTGGTGATTACACCAACCTCGTGGGGTGTGGGTTTCCATGTCCAATTCACCACCAGAAAATAACTATAATGTGTAGGCTATATGACCTGTCCTAGCCATGCTATCAGTGAGTGGCAAAGTTGAATTTATAATCAAGTTTAGTATTTCTACATCCAATGTCCTTTCCACCATAATGCAGATCAAAGACTTTTAAAATAGGTTTCAGAAGTGGCAAGATGATTAGAATGTTGCAGAAATTACCGCAAGTAATTTCTTATTTACTGAATGTGACCAACTGCTTAACCTGTCCTATTCTAAAGGAAGCAGAAAATTAATTATTAATGGGTATTTTACCATGAAAGTCTGATTTTGAACACTGACTGGTATTTCCCTTTCCCTAGAGACAGCAGCAGGTTTAGCTTTATGTGTGTGGTGGGGGGGAGGGGGATTAGAGAACCACGAAGATTAACAAGCCTTTGGACACTAGCACTCTCACAAGCCCGATCCAGGTCATCACTTCTAGTCTTAACATAAGCACCCTTCCTCTGTCCTGGCATGTCAGGCCATGAAGGGAGAATAGACATGAACTTGTGCACTGTGAAAAAAAGAGAGACCCCCTTATGTCTTCCAGGCTTAGATAACTATCTTTCTTAATTGGCATTGGTCCCAACCCAAAGCTTCTGAAGACATACATTAGAAAAACCCTTGAATGAGACTCAGGAGAAAAAAAACACATTTTTATAGTATTTTCTCATATTAGTATAGAACTATTCTTAATTAAAACTTAGTTAGAACTTAAATAATTTAAATCATCATATCTGAAATTTTACAAGTTAGGAGTAACAAGGTTTTATATTTTATAAAGAAGCACAAGATACTATAGAGTAAAAGTGTTGTAAGGTCAACTGTTAGATAATCATATAAAATATATAATACAGGCAAACACACAAATCTGATTCTTTGTGAATAAGACCTGTGTCTTCTACATATTTACTTCCATGTTGAACCCTCTTTTTCCCCTTTACAATACAAAGGGATACTGCCTGACATGAGTTTGCTGTATTGAGAAGGAATTCTGGATTCATGGAAGGTAATCATGGTGTGGGAGAGGAGGGAGAAGGACGGGAAGTGGTAGTACTTTAGCTTTGCACTCTTTGGGCACCAAAAATCTTTTTTCTTGCTATAAGAACTTTAATGTCTAAATATATAAATCTTTTGTAATCCTACCTCACACAAATTATAATTTAGCAAAGATGATAGAGTATATTAATGAATAGCCATAATGCAGAAAGGAAGTTAGTAAATATAATTAAATTGTTGTTATAATTGTATTTGCCAGAGCTTCTTTAACTTCTCCCAATGACCCTTGTAGCCAGGACCATTCTCCCCACAATTACAGAATAATTTTTTTAGAGTTACAGTCAGATCATTAACTCCAGGTCATCTTCCTGTTTCACACATAACCCTCAATTCTTGATAACGACCAACTAGCCTATGTTATCTTGTCCTTTGATACTTTTCTGACTTTATCCACTACGACTCTTTCCCAAAGTGCTCTGCTCTCAACAGTGGCCCTCTGGATGTATTTCCAACAAGTCATAAATTTTTTTTTGCCCAAGGAAGTGGGCTTTTGCTATTTCTTCCATGTGGATCTCTCTTCCCCAAGAGTTCTGCATTAATTATTCCTATCATTTTTAAGTCTTCACTGAATTGCCTAATAATGTATTAAGTAGCAAAAACTGTTCTCAATACTTCTACTAGACATATTTCTTTTTTCATTTATTTATTTATTTTTACTAAGGTATAATTAAGATTTACCTGATTGATTAGTGTTTCTTCCTGTTAAAAGTAAGATCTAGACGCTGTTTATTTGTTCACTTCTGTATATTCCAAGGGCCTACACATCATGGAACACAAATGTAAATACTTGTTGAGTGGATAAATGAAGACAAAAAATTAAGACATTTTTAGAAGAAGAAATAATATGGTAAACTACATCAAAATTCCATAGTGCAATGCAGTTGGGAAAGCAAAGAATGTCTGCATTATGATATGACATAATTAAATGCAAAAACCTGTGGCACATACAAAACCTTCTGTATGAGACATAAATGAACTAAGTAAGCAATTTAAGTCAACAGACTACACTCAACTAGCAAAGTAAACTGGTAGGTGAGGGACAGGTGAGTTGGGATCAGAACTACTTGGATAAAGAAGAAAAACTATAACCTTTGATTCCATACTTCAGGAACCACCTTAAACCATTAAATATTCTGTTTAGTATGTTCTACACACTTTGTTAGGCACTTTACATTGACCTTCCTATCACCCTATGACCTGGGACCTATATCTTCATCTTACTGATGAAGAAATGAGGGCAATGAAATTGTATCTTGAACAGAAACAGTCAGCCTGACTTTTTTGTTTAGTGCTATAAGCTATAGTGTTAGACTATGCTATGTACTCTTAGAGTCAGATACCCACAAGGATGAGGGGTTCTCTCTGTTGAGGATGGAGAACTTCGTGTGTGAGGGAGAAGCTGGTGAAGCAAAGACAGGCCATTAAAGGCAGCAGGATGAAGCAAAAATTCTATGCTAACAAACTCGGACCTTTATTTGCCCTAAATTTCAAAATGGACATTCTAGGAGCTATTGTGCCTAGGACCCCTTTGCAATATAGACAGTAAAGTGATCGGGGCCAGTCTGTCCTGATTACAGTGGACTTGTAGTATGGTTTAACATCAGGTACTGTGATCCCTCTAACTTTGTCCTTCTTTCTCAAGATTGCTGTAGCTATTCAGGGTCTTTTTGGGTTCCTTATAAATTTCAACATATTTGTTCTAGATCTGTGAAATATGCCATAAGTGTTTTAATAGCCATTGAATTGAATGTATAAATTGCTTTGGGCAGTGTGAACATTTTAATGATGGTAATTCTTCTAATCCATTGACAGAGTATATGCTTCCACGTATTTGTACCTTTCTCAATTTCTTTCTTTAGTGTTCTATAGTTTCTGGGTACAGGTCTTTTACCTTCTTGGTTAAGTTTATTTCTAGTACTTTAATTTTTGTTGTTGTTGTTATAGTAAATGGTATTTTTTCTTAGTTGGTGTACAAAAATGTCATTGATTTCTGAATATTGACTTTGTATCCTGCTACTTTGCTGAGTTCACTTATTAGGTCAAGTAGATTTTGGGAGGAGCTTAAAGGGTTTTCCATGTACATTATCAAGTCATCT